GACCACCGCAAGTTACTTAATAATCCCCACGATGTTAAAGACTAGATTGCGAAATTTACCGTCTTATAACGAAGTCAACGAAAAAGAAAAGCAAAAAACCCGACTGCGTAAAAACAAATTAAAAAAAAAGGAAAAAATTAACTTAAATAAAAAAGAAAAAGACAAGCCCAGTAGTTTAGAATTCTGTTGAGTAATACTAAATAACAACACAATTGAAATAGTTTTATAATCGATACACACATAAAACAAATAATAAATTCTAATGCAGCAGAACGACTCATAGTCGTGGCCCATCCAAATTTTACCAATCAAATCATCCCAAGTCGTACTGTTAAATACATACTATTTACCAGTGGCGTACGTAGCTACAGGGTGGCAAGTCGGCAAAATGCCACGGGCCCACAGCTGGAAGGGGCCCCCGGTCAGAGGAGACTCCTTACTCGTGACATTTATTATTACGCAATTAGTAAAAAATAATAGAATATCCGATGAGTTAACCAAGAACCTCAAACTGTATAGTTACGCCACTGCTATTTACTATGTACCGTTGCAAAAACAATGAGAAAGTCTTTTAAGACAAAAAGAAAGACTAAAAAAGCACTTAACTAGATGTCGACTCTAGCAAAAGTTGATTTTTGCAGGAAACGAATGTATATCCGTTCTTTTTAACAATCAAATTAAAAAATCGAAATTCGCAAAGTTCGAAACTTAGATATCAATACAAATACTATAATGTACAAAAACAATATGAGCTGTTTATTGAGTTTTGAAAATGAGTGTACTTTTTATACATTAAAGAAAACCGGAAAGCTTGTCATAGAGAAATCAAGAAAGTACCGTAGCGACATCTAGTTTGATTTCGGGAATTAAAGTTTTTTTTAATACTTCCTAATTAAGTCCTCGATTCCTTTTGACGACCTCCGTAGCCGAGTGGTTCGCACGCCGGTTTCAAGGTGTCGCCATCTGAGGTCCCGGGTTCGAACCCCGGTCGGGTCAATGTAGAAAATGAACTTTTCTATATTGTGTCGGGTCTGGGTATTGTGTTACTTTCGTTGTCTCAGATACTCCATAATACGGGGGCTTTGACTACTCATCTTGGAATCTGAACAATGTATGTGATATTGTGTAATATTTATTTATTTATTTTTTCTTTAAAATAGTGTCGTGGTCAAGTTTATCGCGTATTTTCTCTTACGTTATTCGTTTTAATTTCAAATCGAGTACATTACATTATTATTATAAATGCTTTTAAAATGTTTTTTACATGTTAATAAGGTACTATACCTCTCACGTCATATCAATTTTGAGTTCAAGTTATTTACCGTACACTGCAAAAATACTTATTTAAATATTGATGAAATTATGTTTTTTTATTTGTCAACGAACGAAAAAACTTTAAATATCAACATGAGGTTATCCTTAAACTCGATGATATTAAAATTAAAATGTTACAATTTTAATTCTAGAGTAAGATCCCAGAGCCCCCAGACCTACGTCATTTTAGCAAAGCTGAAATTTTGAGGATTGTTAGTACAATGTGTTGTTAGGAGCTATGCGTACCCACTACCTTGAAAGCGGGGCCGTTTCTCAGGTAGCGCGAAATACAGGTGCGTAAAAAAACTTACTTACCTACGTTAAAGTAACAAAGTTCGTTTTCACATATGTTTTTGAGAATATTATGTAGAATTCAAATTCACTATTGCCAGACACTTTCCGTGGGCCATTACTTCTACCAGAGGTCTTTAATATTATTTAAAAATTAGGTAAACTATTGAATATTAAAAGTACTTGGAGTGTTTAAGAAGATGAGGAACATTATTTTGGATATTATTTCAAGAATAGAATTACAAAATATTATATGGTTTTCTCTATAAAAATTTATTTTAAATGTTAAGATATAAGAGAAGAATGAATTACTAACGATACAGGAATAATAGTATAATGTCTACTATTATTTAATAAACCCGTCAAAGATTATTTAATTTCTTCCCATATAAAATAAATTAGTTTTAATTTTATTTAATTTGAATGATTAAAAATGATTTCACAACCCGCATTATAGAGTATTTCAAAAATTTTGTTATATTAATTAATAAATAATTCTTATTTAAATATTTTGTCTAAAAATATCGCGTTTAATTTCAAAGCGTTAAAAATTGAAGCAAATACTTGAAAATGTGATAGTATGTGCCTTTATTGATAAGTTTATATATGGATTAAATGCTGATGTATGCAAAACAAATTTTAAAGAAGCCAGTTATGTTAAAATTTAATTAAGCTATATTTTACGCTAAAATTATCTTAAATAAACTATAATTCTAACCTAATTCGGAACAATGTAGTTTTTGAATAAATTATTATTATTATAACTGTCAAACAGCCAATTGTCGTTATTGCTTGACGACTTAAGCGCCATATAAGGTTGTTCTTGTAAGCATCTAGAAACGTTTAGAATAATAGTCTCCTACGTAATCATTGTTTGCCCCAGGCACATAACCACTCACCTTTTTCTTTTACATAATATCCCTTCAGCTGTTTCCCCTAAAATACAACTCATGGCTTTCAGAGTTAAGACCAAGTTAAACGAAAACTGAAAGATTTGTATTACATACGGACTCGCACACGAAGGACCGTATTGTGGCGACTGATACATAGCGACATCTAATTCATCGCAGTAACATCGCCACAACAATCGATAGCGAGAAGACTAGCATCGTCATAGCCATCGATAGCAAGACGAACTGCAATAAGTTTCAACAGCAAGTAACGAGATGGCGCTGTACCAATACAAGCAGCATAAATTAATAACTACAAGGCATTTAGAACAAAGAAACCTACATCGCACAGAATAAGTTTAATTACTAATTAGCATAAATAGAACGTCCAACCTAAATCGGTTGGACCGCGGTCCTCGGGCTAACAACACCTAGCTCGGAGGGAGACAATTATCCTTTAGTCTCCCTGGCCAGTTGTCTCCATCACCACAATAGGGACCCCACGGTTCCTAAAGTATCATTATTATGAAAAATGTACAAAATCATGTTTGTTGTATGTAAGAGTAGCTCGGTGGTGTAGTGGATAAAAGCCGCGGGCTAATGATGATATATGGAAGCCCCATTTAATATATATTTCATATGATTTTTGTATTTGTTGTTAAAGCGGCATCAGAAATACATCATCTGTGAATATTTCAACTGTCTAACTATCTCGGTTCACTGGATACAACCCGGTAACCATCTAGTTGCCCGCTGTCTTGGTTTCCATGTTTACCCATATAAGATATTTTTTAACTAGCTCTCCGCCAGCGGCTTCGCCCGCGTGGTTTAGTTTTTATACTTCTAAGTTCTGAAATGAGAAAATTCCAAATAAACTTCTTCCCCCTTATTTAACCCCCTTAGGATTTGAATTTCTAAAAATCCTTTCTTAGTGACGACTTACATCATCATACTTTCTAGTTTCTAGGTACAGTAGTTTCCGTTGTGTATAAGTCAGTCAGGTTTGCCTTTTATATGTATAGACTCATAATCTTAAAATGGCCGAATCCAGTCTATCTGCTCTACACGCAATCGGTAAATTTACACAAATATATTATATGAAAGTGTACATCTATACTTTACGGATCCCTAAAAAACACTTAGTTATATTAATACTAGGTGTTTTTTAATGAGCTTTAGGAAGGGTAGGTCTGGCAACATTAATAAAGAAACCTCATTTTTCACAGAGTACCTTCGGTTCAATGCCATCATGAACAATCGATCAATTTTATTATTGTTTCTATACGTGTAAAGACCACAAACGTGACATTGGCGGAATTGTGTAAATGCAAATAGGCCATGAATTAAAAAAGAAGAACAATCGATCAATGTCACTTTTGGTCATTGTTGGTAGGGATGTGAGATTAATAGAAAATAATCGATTTAATAAAAATCGATTATCTTTTTTAAATTATAAATCGATTTGTCAATAATCGATTTTAATGAAAATAAATAATCGATTTTTGCGAAAAAATCGATTTTTTTTTCTATTATTTAAAATCGTACATGCTTTGCATATTCCAATAATAAACCTAAAAGATTCATATTAACAATTAATCAGATTAAAAAAAATAATATGAATAAAAAAATTGACAATTCAAAACTAAAAATCAAAGCAAATGTTCTTTTAAACTTTCAAGGTAAGGAATAATAAAACCAAATATCATTATTGATAGAAATTCTCAGTATCTTTAAACGTTATATAATAATAAAAATTAAATGAGCACCCCATCAAAATGACAACCTTATTGTCGCAAAAAATTAAATATAATAATAAAAAAAAAATTGTCATGAATGTAAATGTTTAGTTTTCGATAAATATCAAACATCGATGTTGGACTTACGATGATGATATCGATGTCAACATCGATGTTATTCTAATGTCGTCTTGAGTATCAGATTCTTCTTACATATTTTTTTCTTCGGTTATCCGCCATTTTTTCTTCGTTATCATTTAATTACTTTTTGTATTACAACCATTGCAGTTTCTTCAATGACTTCTTTTAAAAATTTCTTGCATCTTCTCTTTATATCCAATTGATAAACATAGTTAATTTAATTCTCGGAGTAATAATCATTTGCTGTCTATCCCATTATAAGTATGTAGGAAAATAACTAACAGCTTGACCTCCGTCCCATGTCACAATTCACACCACTATTTTGTAGCTTCGGACCATCGTGGTCACGGTCGCCATGAAATAGATCATATATACCTACAGATAGGGCGCCGTTTGTATATAATCAACTTTTAAGTAATAATGCTTCGAGTTTTTTCATTTGACGCATAGATGATGCTATTTTTGAAAATCGATTTAACCGCGCAATTTATTTAATCGATTTGTTAAAAATCGATTAATATGACATGGAAAATCGATTATAAAAAATCGATTATATTAAAATAATAATCGATTAAAATAAAAATCGATTATTTTTTAACATCCCTAATTGTTGGTGCATTTGGTCATTAACGTAGTTTGTCGGTTTTATTTATTGTAAATAAAATTAAATAACTCAGAAGGTGGCTAAATCATAGAAGGCTGAACAGCCAATAACGAAGAAATATAATTAATTTAACGCAAACAAGTTAAATAAATAAAATAAACCAAGAAGAACACTAGTGTTTTGTAATAAAATACATCTTATTAAAGTTTTTCGTTATTGTAATTTATGGAAAGCTATTAACTCCGGATTACTTATTTACAATTATTCAGAAAATGAAAACCCGCAGAACACTAAGACCACCAAGGATCTTATTTAATTTTTGTGTCGTAGCATAAATTTGCGAAACTACTCATAATGCCGAGAATGTTACCTTTTAGAATATGTATTAGAGACTGTTTCGTTTTAGTTCTTTTGGTTATATTTAATACTATTCATATAACAGATATGGGTAAATATATATATAAATTTCATATTTTTAATATTCATTGTAATTTAATTTAAAAAATTAATGCAAATAAAAATACTTTATTGTAGCTAACAATAACATCCCAAATAAGGAAAGTAAAGGAAAAGAAGGTAATATTGATAAAATGTTGAACTTTATTGATAATGAAGATTATTTGGAAAGTTGTCCTAGCATTGATCAGAAAAATGTTTCATTATGCTCCACATTAAATTATCCCTGTATCACTTGTAATAGAAGCATAGACTGTCGCTATGGAGGGTTCTCAGAATATAAGTGCACAGTTAAACCAAAAGTATATTGTAATGTAAGTATTATGTAGTAAATACAGTTATAGTTTTATTAAATTGTGTACATCCACATCAAGTGACTTAACCATTTTACAGGGCACTAAATCATTTAATAGAACTGCAATGTGTCGATTCTGTTATCAAACTGAAAAGTGGGAACATAGATGTGATCAGAAAGCAAATTGCAACTCTGTAGCTTCTCCACTCACATACTATTTGTAAGTGAGATTTTTATCAATCACAATTTAATTTGTAAAAATTCTGGTATTGTAAGAATATTTTGTAAAGCTATTAACTATTTTTACAGAACAAACTGTACAGTATCAGATGATGTCATTTGTTTGGGGAATCGAACATTTTTAAAGAAGATTCGTTGCTCATGGACTGCTGGTACAAGATGGGGTACTGCTTTGATTCTTGCTCTGACTCTTGGAGGATTTGGGGCAGATAGATTCTATCTTGGCCATTGGCAAGAAGGCATCGGAAAGCTTTTTAGTTTTGGTGGTTTAGGTGTTTGGACCCTAGTAGATGCACTCTTAATTGGAATCCATCACTTAGGGCCTGCAGATGGTTCTTTGTATATTTAAATAAGTATATGTAGTTAAATTATTAGACTTTAATAAAAACTTTAATTTTACTTTAAATTAGACTTTAATTTTATTAAATAATGCTAATAAAAAACATCAAATATATAAATATTCTCTTTATTAGTTAATAAAAAGGAATTTATAATTAATCAAACAAAATGCTTATAAACTAAATCAACCAATTCATTCTTCTTTAAAACACTAATTGACTTCAGATCAGGAATATCTTTAGATCTCAATATTTGTTTTAACTGAATCACATTATATGTATTAATTTTTTTATTATTTAAACGATTTTGGAAATCCTCTTCATCAATTTCTTCTGTTTTTACCCTTTTGGTAGTTGTGCCAGACTCTTTTGTTGCGGCCATGCGTTTTGGAGCAATCATACCAAAAGGTCCAAATATACTTTCAAATAAATCTTCCTTGATATCATTAAACTTATTAGGATCTGGTTTCGTTGTGTCAATGTATGGTTCCATTTCTTCATCTCCAAGGGCAATTGCTTCTATAGCTCTATACTGTGACTGACAGACTGGATTCTCAAACATATCTGGCTTATAATCAAAGCTCAACTTGTTGATTACATCTTTCATAGTTGCTTTATGTGCTATGGGAATAGCAATATTTTCTTCATCCTCATCATATATAGATAATTGCCTTACATGTTCCATGAAAGGAATTTTTATAATATCAAAACCAATTTCAATATCTAAACCAAGAGGGTGAGAACATGGTGACAGTGCAACAATGCTAGGTCTAGAGTTTACTCTAGTACATAAAACACAAATTGCAACAACAGATGTATCAACACAAGCTTTATATAATGCTTTAAAAGCCTTAGTGGATCCTTCAACTCTGTTTTCATTTGGAAATAAAAAGTGACTAGCTTTATAGTACCATTTTTCTTTATTCAGCATGCTGGCTGGTTTGAATCCAAGAAGTTTCATCATAGGAGGACCAAAAGGATTAGTCATAATTTTCTTTTCCTTGTCAGTAAATATAATTTTCTCACCTCCATATTCTTGATAGTGTATCAGTTCAGATTTCAGTAGTGGTAATTGCTTGTGTTCAGTTTCATCTTCATCAGTCTCCATTGACATGTTTGGTGTCTGTTCAATTGATACTTTTTGTGTTTTATTGACACTAGTAACAATAGCATTTGTGTCTCTATCTAAATAATCTTTCTTAGGTTGAAAGTTGCTTTTTAAAAGACTGTATACTCCTATACCAATTTCAAATCCTTCACCAATCTCGAACATTAATTGGGCAATTGCTAAATGACGATGGGACTGTTTATACATTAAAGTTTCTATTTCCTTAGGATCATAAACTGGCTTTGGTAAAATAACATCATGATTTCCAGTTGCATCTATTAATAGCTCTTTGTAAAATTTGTGAGGTGTATAGTCATTACTTGCTATGTTTATAAATTTTATTTCAATGTCAGATTTTACCATTTCCTTTACTCTTGAAAAAGTTGGATCTTGGTCGCTTTCAATTGGTGGTACTTCAAATTTAGTAAGGATTAATACTGTCCGTGTCACTAACTGTTTTTTACAATTTGCAAACATTTTACTACAATGCCACAGGGCATCTGACATTATTAATGTCTTATCTTGAGAACATAATGATAAATCTATGTTTTGTAGCTTTTTAAAGTCCTCTAAGTTAGGTAGATTCAATGGAAACACTTCCAAAACATTTTGTGTATTGAAGTTTGATGCATCCAACTCTCTTGTGCCATAAAAACAAACACCTAAGTAGTGCGTGTTCGCTTGACGCAAATGATGTCTTAGTAATCGACAAGTTGAAACATGACTTAAGACAGCAGAGTCACTTTTCTTTGAATCGTAAACATTAATAAGTATTATTGTACCTGGAACGCCTCTCCACGAATGGTATTCTTCTTTTTCGTCATCAGAATCCATGATTACTTATTTAACAACATTAATTTAGATCTAGATTAAGAGTTCGGTATTTCAAGCACAGAAGAACATGGTAGGGAGATGGAAAGTAGGTTTATTCGAAATATGCCAGAACTAAATTCAAGTTGCACAGAAAATAACACTAATAAATTTAATTTTAGAGGGTAACAGTTACACTAATAAATTAAATCAATGTAAAACATGTTTATATATTAGTAGTATTATAATTCGTCCATGGGACAGGCGAAGGAACTAAGCCATACAGCCAAATCTTGGGTTTATATATTAACAAATATATTTATATTTTTCTCACCTATGGTTGGAGGCAAACGTTGCCTACCAACCAATGACTAGGGATGTTAAAAAATAATCGATTTTTATTTCAATCGATTATTATTTTAATATAATCGATTTTTTTATAATCGATTTTCCATGACATATTAATCGATTTTTAACAAATCGATTAAATATATTGCGCGATTAAATCGATTTTCATAAATAGCATCATCTATGCGCCAAATGAAAAAACTCGAAGCATTATTACTTAAAAGTTGATTATATAAAAACGGCGCCATCTGTAGGTATGTAGGTATATATGATCGACATTAGAATAACATCGATGACATCGATATCATCATCGTAACTCCAACATCGATGTTTGATATTTATCGAAAACTAAACATTTACATTCATGACAATTTTTTTTTTATTACTATATATTTTTTCGCAAAAATCGATTATTTATTTTCATTAAAATCGATTATTGACAAATCGATTTATAATTTATAAAAGAAAATCGATTTTTATTTTGTTTTTGTTTCTGACGCAATAAAAGTAAAACTTATTTATTATGTTACCTGTACAAAAACCATGTTTGGTTTATATGTCAACATTAGTGATGTTGCTCCCAACTTCAATTGACTCGATTCAAACGAATTCAGGTTTGGAATCAAGAAAACAAGCAGAGCGCAGAATTCAGCTTGTTTTTTTTATGTGCAGTATTTCCATACGAGTCATTATGCAGCCACATGTCGAATTATGTTAATAAAAATTTCAAAATCGATTCTAGTCTAGGCTGTTACATAGTCCTTATGAAAGTCGAAAGCTTTGCCAACGGTCCGCTAAACTAAGGCGGGAGATCTTGTACTGAGAAGAAAGGGCAAGAAACTCAGCAAGGGCTCTTTTTCTCACTGTTTTATTTCACACAGAAAAGTCTTGTTGGAATATAGTGTTGGAATCTTATTAGACTATGAAGTCACTTTCCATTACATTATCAGAAATACTACAAACTCATTGACAAATCAATATACATAATATTATTGTAAGAACAAAAAAGAACATAGGATCATCATACGAATTAACATAACACGTAAGACATAGGAAAAATAAAAGAAATACTATTAGGATACGGATTGCCTCGCGGCTGAATACTTGAGTGGGGTTACTTAAGGCGCGAAGATGACGATTGTCAAGCATTTGCAAAGTTAATAAGAAATCGGTCGCCGGACATCATTGAAATCGGGACTGTACCAAAAAATTCGGGACGGGTAGCAACCCTGGTTAAAGTTTTAGATTCCGAACTGTGTTGTTAATCCCATTAGTTAGTGTTAATTTAAATTAGTTTTTGTATTAATATCTTAGCATCTTTTCGTTTGGAGGCTAGGGAGATTCTTAATTTCTAAATACTATATTGTGATTATAACAGTTGTCAAAACTTGAGATAATTGTGAAGCTACTTTAAAATGAATGCATTGAAATGCAAGCTTTTTCAAGTTGACTCATAAATATGGAAATAGGTCTAAATGTAATTGTTAATGTGCAGTTTTTTACCTTAAGACAATAGAATATTTTTTCGTATTAGATGAAACAAAACGTAGTAAACCGTCATTGGGTCCGATTTGCATTGAGGTAGTGTATCAAACCGTCATTTTAGGGTCCGATTCGCATTCGAGTTTAAAAATAATAGATTTTGACATTGACATTGACTGACTGGTCAATGAATAAAATCTATAAACTAGTGTTCAAGGAGTAAATCTGCTAATGTTTATAAGTGTATATAATATGTTGGGAGAAGCCCACACTATATTTTGAGATACATCCATCGCTAGACTCATTAGTAAATTTTTAGGTCAAAATTGGACATTATTTCTTTGGTTAGCAAAAGGTAAGCCTAGAAATCAATTACCAATGATACAAATATTTTGTCAGCAATAATAATAAACAGGGCTGCAATTCTCCTTCTGTAAACAATTATGATTATGGTCAACAATTTAAACGTATTTTATTATGTATCAGCAAAATAAAGTCACGCCGCAAAATCATTATTTGGGCAGTAAGATTATACAATAGCAAAATAAAGATTTTTATAAGCAGTTTATTAGATTGGCATGCATATTCAAATTTTGCTAAGCAATGTAAATAGTTGAAACTGAGTGATGCGGTAGTGGGCGCGCGACCTGAGTTAGTAGCCAATCGCGTGCGAGTAGAGCCACAGAAATATATCTAGTTAGAAGGAAAAAGTGTACGTACTTCGCGTGCCGAAACGACGTCTAGACAGCTTCGTTGCTCGCCGCGAGGCTCAGTCTACTTTCGATTGTAATCCGAGTTCAACGTTAGGTGTGAAATTTAAAATGACGCGTTGTTCAATAATTAACTGCTCAAACACCACCAGTATAGTTGGATCTTATAATCGAGGTATTTCCTTCCATCGGTAAGTAATTATTTGTTTTGATATATCCATTAAGCATTAAAAATCATTTGTTTTCTTGCTCCGTATTATTTTCGTCAAAACGATCACGTGTCCAGTAATAGCTTTCCATTACGGCTTTAATTTGACGAACCAAATTTGCCGTGCTTGTAAAACCATCGATCTATAATTCAAGGACAAATTGTTGAAGGTCAAATTCTGACAAAAATGGCGAATAGTGCTGTACAATGCGATGTTGTTTAACCGATTAAAAAAAATCGTTTTTTAAGCAGAAGAAATGATAATTTATTTTTTATATTGAATATTTGTACTGTATTTTTTTTTAAGTTTTCCGAATGATCCATATATTAAAAAAAAATGGATTGAAGCAACAGGACGTAAAAATTGGTATCCTACAAAAAACAGTCGGATTTGTTCAATTCATTTCTATGAAGATACCTTTACTGGTCCATCAAAGTACCGACGAGTAATAAAAACAGCATATCCGACTATTGATGTTGTGATAATGACAACTGAAAAAAAGGTAAAGTATACCTTAAGATTTTTTACATTATTTCATACAAAAAGTGTAATCTACCAGCGATCCTATCGAACATGAGTCTGCCTGTTCGTCCGTATGTCACAGCCGTAATTTTCCGAATCTAATGGATAAATCAGGTGACATAAATAGATAGGATAGTATCACAGAAATATATTTAGTGACAGTGTAATATTTCTTTTGCACATCTTTGTTTAGTTACAGATTCAAATACAGTTGTGCGAGGGAATTAAATAAAAGAAGAAGTTAAATGAACAATCACACCGTTTAGCTTAGTAGTAGCTAAACGGTGTTTACTGTTAGGATTTCAAATGTGATATTTTGTATTACAGTGGATATTAATAGTGGCCTCAGCACACATTATTTTGCTTAGGCAAATTATACATGGCATCATTCTATCTATTGGTGAAAACTAGTAGTTTTTGACTTTACTGCAAATAGAAAATGAAATAGTTACTTTGTTTTATAATATTTTGTTTTATATAATTAATGAATGTAATACAATTTGTGCCGCAGATAGACCCATCTTGTTCAGATAAGGAATCAAATAATATGTACAGTAAGCTCAGGAAGAGAAAGTGTGAAATGGTAAGTATTATCATAAAATTCAGAGTATTTTTGTATTGAACATATATTGATATAAAGTATGTGATACTGTATTATTGTGACAATAAATTATTGATCCATTTAGTTTTGTAGTCATTGACGCAATCTCGATCTCAATTAATCGACTTATATTGAATTCTAAATTGAAGTCTGTGACTTTCTCATTTTTTTTCTATCGATACGTTAGTATTATCATTTTGTCTGTCAAAACTAATTATCATTTTAGCTGTCGGTTCTTACTGATAAAAATATGATATTAGGTATGCGGTATAAGTAAAATGATTTGGTCACACGAATAATGTTAGACAGAGGAATATACTTATTTCTATTCACAATGAAGACAAAGGTCCGATATTTTGATCGTCAACTACGCTGACTCCGTCACGCCACCGCACGTACTATTTTGTGCAGTTTTACTAAATTACATTCGTGACATATACATAATATTTAAGCAAAATGTTACACATTGGTCTCCGTCGTTCGATATCGGTTTTTAAATCGATAAGAATTGGTATGCTGTTTCAAATACAACATGTATTCGATTGAAGAGAAATTATGTTTTCCATCACTAAATTAAGTTCGTGACGTCATGATACCTACATAAAATGGGGCACGCTCGGTCTCCATATAAATCGACGAACATGTTCCTTCTAACTAGATCTATTTCTGTGAGTAGAGCCCTTTTTAGCCCTTGACGTAAAAAGGTTGATGAATAATTATAAATATGGATCACTCTTTGCAGCTTTTATACTCAGACTAAAAAAAAAGTAAAGACGGAGTTCGCTGAATAACAAAGTGAAGCCGATTTTTAGCAGGGCTGCCGACTCTAAAAAATTATTTCTACTAAATCGGCATTTAAAAAATGCCAAAAATATGCCAAATATTTACGAAAATGCTAAAAAAAATGCTATTATTACAGAAATAAAGAATATTTATTTAAAAAATCTTTATAAAGAAGCATTTATAAATAAATTGCGAAGACTCTCGTCGGTATCCTGAGCTGTTGATGTAGCCGGTAGGTATGGAGCAGATGACGTAGATGCATAAGCCTCATTAGTCCCTATTTATCGCAAAATTTGATCAGGGACCTCATAGGAGTGACAGCATTTGTCAACTCTTCTTAATCCAAATCTTACGTACAAAATTGCATTTAAGGTGGATGTTAATAAGCTGTTCCTTAGTTTAGTTTTAACCAAG